TGAAGGCGTCTAATGATGAGCAGTCCTCAGCCTCCTCAGTCAGACCATTCCTGCGCTTCGTTATCTTTACCAGATAAAGCTTTCTCACTATCTCATCTCAATCTTCCTTGCAACAGCATAAGCCTATTACAACTTCTTCTTCCCACTGTAAGCAAGATCAGTCTATCCTCCCTTTCTGCAGCTGCATTTTATATATTTGAAAACTATTGCTTTTGAGCAACTCCCTTCAGTTTGCTCTGCGAAATCACCACCATTTCTTCATTCTTCCCTTGCAGGCCGAGTTACTAAATCACTACTTGTTCCCAGAGCTCTCTTACAGACTTTCTCTGATCGCCCTGCATTTTTTCGGAAGTACAAGGCCCAAAGCTGGACACCGTATTCCACCTGAAGGCTGGTACAGAGCCAGGGCACCAGCCAGAAAGCCTGTTCATACTGCCCGGGCTATTTGCCCTTTGCAAAGTGACACTGACCTGTGCTCACATTGCTGTCCATTTTCCTAGATCTTCTTCTGTAGAACAGCTGCCTGGCCAGGTAGTCACTGACGTGTTTCCCCTGTTGATCAGTCCTTCCACCCTGCAGGTCTCAGCAGGTCTCGGCGTTTGTCTGTGTTGATCTGCCTGCTGTTCTCTTGGACCGCTTCTCCCTATGGTCAAGATCATTCTGAATTTGAATCCTGACCAAAAGCCAGTCTGCTTGTAGGCTCTCCCATCTGCAGATTTGATACAGTCCATCATCCAAGTCAATCTTAAAAATGTTGAATCTTGCCAGAGCCGTAACGGATCTCTCTGCTACTCCATCTGCTACTTCCTCCTAGTTTGACAGTGAACCATCTGATAACTATGCTCTCAGGATGTCTTTTTCTGATTAATTTTGCCTCCACTTTTTCAGCTGGTTTTGCAGTAGTTTCCTTTAGCTTAGTTTCCCTTGCTTTTTAAGAGGTCAAAATGGTGATATGGTCAAAAGTTGTGAGATGAATGGTACTCAGAGTCAAACCAAGAGCTGTTGTTATGAAGTGTTACAGAGTTTCAACTGGAACTTTATCAGAGAGTTAATCAGAGCTAACCTGAAACAAAGCAGAGTAAAACCAATGCTCATTTGCAAAGCCCTAGCTGAAAGCCATTTTAAAGCAAGATGTTAAGTATACTGCTCTTTCCCAGCCCATAAAGCCTGTTTCATTTTAGCAGAGAAGAACAGGCTGCACAGGGCTGGCTCCCCTTTCTGGAAATTGTGTGTTTGTCTGTGATAATTCCAAGCAACATCTATACAGAATTTATTTTTTCCCCTGTTTTTGTCCAATAAGGGTTCTAAATGCCTTGTGTGCCTGATATGATGTACTTAGACAGTGTCTATGCTGTCCACATTTAATTTCCTTAATTTAAAGCCAGCCGTGGAGAGTCTGGACAATTAAAATACCTCTTTACATACTGTAGTATCTCCATGCTATTATTTGATCTTCCACATCTCCTGGAATCCACCAGCGGTCAAAAATACCTTGATGTATGAGCTTCTGTTTGTTACTTAGGCACGGCTATTCCGAAATAGGTGGCTATTCTGAAAATCAGTCAAGCAATTGACACACATCCATGGGCCCCGATGGAATGCACCCACGAGTGCTGAGGGAGCTGGCGCATGTCATTGCTGAGCCACTCTCCATCATCTTTGAGAGGTCCTGGAGGACAGGAGAGGTGCCTGAGGACTGGAGAAAGGCCAATGTCACTCCAGTCTTCAAAAAGGGCAAGAAGGAGGACCCAGGGAACTACAGGCCGGTCAGCCTCACCTCCACCCCGGGAAAGGTGATGGAGCAGCTCATCCTGGAGGTCATCATCAAGCAAGTGGAGGAAAAGAAGGTTATCAGGAGTAGTCAGCATGGATTCACCAAGAGGAAATCATGCTTGACCAATCTGATAGCTTTCTACGATGGCATGACCGGCTGGGTAGGTGAGGGGAGTGCCGTGGATGTTGTCTACCTCGACTTCAGCAAGGCTTTCAACACAGTCT